TGTGTGTGTGTGTGTGTGTGTGTGTGTGTGTGTGTGTGTGTGTGCTACATAGTATTAAAACAGCTCTGAAAATGAATATTTCAGGCCATTTTCTTACGCACGTCTTTTTTTTCTTTGATTTTACATATTCATACAATGCATAATGACTCATTACATAGGCAGAGGTATTATCGGGATATTAGCTTCAGTTTTATATTTTAAAAATCTGTCAAAAAGTTAGTTTACATCGTTAATTTATCTGAATAAAATGTATGTTAATATTTACAGACATCCTGCCTGCACACACGTGTGTCTCCATTGTGTAACCAGGTCAGGCTGAGGGCACGTTGACAAGTCTAACTCCACCGTGCGGGTGCATGTGGAAGTGGTGATGTCATGCAGCGTGTCAGCATCACGAGAAATAGCCCTCAGGAGACACTCTCTCCTCACGCCGTCATTGCTATTGTCTCACTCTCCTGCCTTATCTTTCCCTCCTTTGCAGCCAATTTAAGGTGGAGCGGGAGCTGTAAGGTCAGAACAGGGCACATGTGAAGGGCCGTCGCTGGTTTGAATCTCCAGGACGAGTGGGGAAACTGAGCGAGCGCCCTTCTCTTGCTGGATAATTAACAGTGAAGGGCTTTTGAGAGCCGCTCCGGCTGCTGGAAATGAAAGCTGGATGCAGAGCTGATGAGGTAATGAAGGAGCAGAGGCCTAAGAGGGTTTGTGTCTTTTGACAAGCGGAGATACTCGCTGTCTTTATGACCAGTGTTTGGGAGTAACTACATATAGCAGTTATATAATTAAGATTTTTAAAAAACCATCTATTACAGTCCCTGAGAGGAAAAATATGTAATTAACTTCACTCACACTCAATAAACTGGGGATTTTTTTGACAATGTGTATAAATGAATTCCTTCTTTTTCTCTAAAGTGAATTAAAATGTTGTATTTTTGAGAGAACAGAGGAGGTTTCAAATGGAATAAACAGACACACTGACATCAATTTCTAAATCTGAGGAATCTCAAACCAATGAGTTTCCCTGTTATTAAGATATGAACACTCACCTCAACCAGCCTCCTCTCTTAACATCTACCCTCCTCTCTTCTCTGCTCTTGGTTTGTTTTATAATCTCTTTATTATGCAAGTTCTGCCATTATATAAGTAAAGGACTCCCTTTGTGTGTGTGTGAGTGTGTGTGTGTGTGTGTGATCCATCTCCCTCACATGCCACTCTGCTGTTCTACATATCTCTTGTATCTCTCTTGAAGACGGGACTCACAAGAACCTTATGCGTGATTTCATTTTGATTTCACCAATGTTACCAGGAAGTAGGCGGTGTATTGTAATCAGTGGCCTCTGTCTGTCTGTCACGACAACACCTCCGGCAGTTTGAATCCAATTAGGATTCAACTTGGCAAGTTGATTCAAGGTCAGGACCTGAAATATTGACTGTTCAGATCTATCCAGGGTCAAAGTCATCGGATCAAAGTTACAGATCGCAACAGTAAAATTAATTGAACTGGACTTTGACCGAACTTGCAGCCTTAGTGGACTGAGATACACGTTTCTATTAGAAATGAACTTTGCTTCCATCAATGTGCTGCACCAAGTCTTAAACATTCAATGAGTTAAATGAATGAAAACGTTTTACTTTTAAACACAGGTGAATGTTTTCGATTGACAGAATTACAAAATTAATTTAAATTGATAATTATAAGAGGGATGGAGGTCAGCAAAATAATGAATTCAAAGATAATACCATTGTAAAATGTGTTATTACATCATTTCATTCAATGTGCACTCGCCTCTTCTTCATCAGAGGTGAAGGAAACGTGCTGCCTCAGCAGGAAGACTTTGCCAGTGAGTTTAATCACAGTTGCTCAAAGGCACCTTGAGCTACGAACATAGATGTGATGGGCAAGGTTCACTTGCACCAATCAAAATTGGACTTTATGGTCAATATGTCTCCAGATCATGTCCACTGGGTTTTGAGGGAGACATTTTTTTCAAATCATTTAGGATATTGTGGTTGATGACCAACGTTTCTCATTTGTAATAGAAGCATGTATCTCACTCCTCTGACGCTGCATACCGAGTTTGGTCAAAATCAATGTTTTCTATTAAATTTCAACCAAAACTTTGGTCCAATGACTTCGACCTTGACCCTGAATGGATTTGAAAAGAAAAAGAAAAATCAATAGAGCAGGTTCTGACCCTTACCCCAATCAATTTGCCAAATTCAATCCACATTTGATTAAAACTACATGAGACATTACTGTGACAGACAGACAGACCCCTTTAATGTTCTCGTTTATTTGCATTTCATATGTATCAACAGAAACCTGAAGACAGTTTAAGAGCTGATCTTTAAAAGCAATCCTGGTATTGGTCCAAATGTGCTAACGGTGCATCCTTCAGCGTGTTTGTATGTGCTCAGCCAGGTGCATCTGCTCTCAAGGGCAACTGCTTCCTACAGTGCTTGTGATTGATTCCATGTAGCCGTTGATGCATCGGTCACACTGCAGACAGAAGATGCATTTACTGCTTAAAGTTGACTTCGGGGAAAGGCTTTATAGAGAGATAGTAGAAATTACACACACTGCACTGTAGACTGATGGTTAAAGTCATAAAACAAGGTGATACCGGTGATACCGAGAAATTAGCCGGTGTAAAGAGCTCATGGGAGGTTATGAGAAGGTTCCTCTATTAGCACAGGGCTAATGATTATCATAATATGTTATATCACCTTGCCCAATGTGCAGCTTAACACATTTCATGAATCTATTTGTAGTTTGGGATTTGGTTCGAATCTTTTTTTTTTTCAGACAAATCTTCAGGAATAAAACCGGAATTTCTAAAGATGAAGGATCTGTATCAGGATCAACCTCAGATTTCTTCTAGATGCAAATGGGGAATAATTCCGCCTATTGCTATTATTCTGTCACCATGACAACCACAAATAACGTAAATGAAAATCGTGATGTACGAAACACATGCTCTGCTTTCAGCTGTTGAGAAAGCAAAAAGGGTTTGTCCCCTTCACGCTCAGACACATAAGCCAGCGCTGTGAAGACGGATCTGTGGTGGGTGTTGCAGCCTAAAATGCCACAGGCCTGTAACTGGACTGCCCTCCACTTGAGTCTGACTGGGAGGCAGCTCGGCACACATCCATTACTTCATAAAAGATTCAAACAAATGAGTTTTGTTAGTGTAATTAGTGCAGTTAGTTTATCATTCTTAAACCAGTAATTCATTTCATTGTATCTCCACAGGTGGCACACAGAGCTCTGTTGTATTTCCACTTGTAACTCGTGGATCTCATTTACTACGCACCAGCAGCTAACAACACGTATTCATACTGAAGAAAATGTCTCTTTGAATAATCCTCAGAACAAGGACTGTTCATATAGAAGGACGACACTACTGCGCAGTAAAAAATAAGTCAAAGCATCTCGATCGCCCCCTGGTGGCTGGCTGCAGTATGGGTCAACGCTAAGTTATCTTTGATCGGCGGAAAGGAAAGTGATGCTTTTAGGGAAACCCCTGCAAAAAAATGTTACAGGAGACACTGAAATTATAGTCCGTGCATCCCTCTGAGTGGAACGGAGGCTATCGGTCATCTTCAAAAGACATGGGATCAGCCCAAACCAAGAAACTACTCGCTACTGCACAGACTCTGGCTCCAAAGAAGTTTTCGGCAAAAGATGGTAGTGTTCAGATCTGACATATTACCTTCACCACTGTGTGGGGAGTGGGAGCAAGAGGAGACGCATCATCCATCTTTATATAAAGCCTCTGAGTCACCAGTCTGCTCAGTTGGTGGATCTGGTATAGGCTGATAATTGCAGGGTTGGTGGTTCCCTTCAACTCCTCCTGTCCACATGTGGAAGTTTTTTCTTGACAAAGAACAATGAAACCCACTTTGCTTCCAATGCATGTGTGGGTTTGCATGAGGGGGAAAAAGTGTTTGCAGTATAGTTTGACTATATGGAGACATTAGAAAATGACAGAGCACTTAAGCCACTGCAGTATTTCTCTCAAGTAAAACTAAAAATACTGCCCTTACATTAAGGTGATTAGAAAGCTGCAGTGGGGTGACCATGCTGCTCTGCGCCTTCTAAATGTGTAAGTGTGCAACTGTTTGCAAACACGTAAAGCAACTTCGCTGATATTAGTCGGGGTCTTGTCTATTTCCTCCGTCTAAGTATTTGCAACACTTCGTATACCCGTGAAAAGGTTTTTATTGTTGTTGCAGGACCACAGGATGCATGGCTTCATACTGTAAAGTCCTGGCATTTAGCTGAGTACACAGGCTACTTCTATAAGTAAATACAGTATCGTACCATAAACCTCGTGTAGCAGCTCCACTCCAGACCCTGTGTGGACAACAAATGCCCGCGACAGATCAGCGATGCAGCCGCCACTTGGTACACACTTATCGTGGCCCAGGCTTTGTCGTGACTGTTTTTCAGTGTTTCAGCCCCCTAGTGGTCTAAAACCAGTTAAAGCAGCTCTCAGGAATATTCACTGACATGGAACTCTGTGGAGAATTTTCTTCATCATCTTGCCGGTCACGGGTGTCACAACGTCCACCCTCGCTCAGCATATCTGTCTGAATAGCCATTTACCCTTTCTTGTCTGGTTCCTATCTTCCCTGACCCTCTCTGTCTTTCCACATCGCTGTAGCTTTCTCCCCACCTCAGCCGTCAACGTGGCCCATATCTGTCCGCCTGTTGTCTTGTAACATCTTGTGCGTCCTGGCCTCTTGCTATTCCTCAGTCGCCCTCGTGCCAGTTGCTTTACCCCCTCTCCTCCCTCCCTCCCTCCCTCTCCTTCTGTATGTTGTCAAAACCCGCTACATCATTCTGAAATGTTGTCTCCTTCGCAGCATCTCCCCAAACATTTGTCCTTCTCTCCTCAGGAACTCTCTCTTCCTTTTGTCTGGTATTCTTTTCTGTTTCTCTACATTTGACGTCACTGTTTCCTCTGCCTTTCTCCATGAACCACACTTTTCTATGCTGCTTTTATTATTTTTTCTTTCTGCTGTTGTGTCATCATTTGCAATCATACTGAGGCGGAGCAGTCGTGTGGTAAGAAATGCTACTCAATTATATTCCTGAAAGAGATTAGAGTGTTTAATCAAAGCTTCAACTCGCCCTGAGGCACCAGAGCACTGTTTCTATTTGAGCTTAAAGAGGCTACTTTTGTAAGAATTACATTCTGCAAGCTTTTAAGACCAAAAGATTTTCATATACCTGCATAGATGTGTGTCATTTGTAGGATACACGCTCACTCTGAATGACTTTAAACCCAAACCCAATTCCAAACACTTGCATTGTGGATTCAAATGCCTGAGGACATTTTATGGTTAATGGATTTTAGTGGATTTTCTACATTTGTCCCACACTGTTCCAGATGTCACCGGTGAAATTGTAATTACAGGCTCTTGAATTACCCAATTAAACAGTAGATATTTACTGTTATCATGCATATGCAGAGTTCATAATGCACTCCTTCTGCTGGTGCTGCAGATGCATGCTTGGTTTCCACTATAAAGCTATGTTTGCCTTAGGGTCCACTTTGTGACTTTTGAATAAAGCACTAGGAGTCACATTGAAGACTATTAAAATTTAAAGTTTGAGCCTTTGAGGAGAACAGAAATGTTGATGGATTAAACCACCAAATCAGCACAGGGTGACCAGAGCTTTACAAACGAGAAAAGCCCTGAAGGTGTGGAATGAATTTGTTGCAGACCAAATGCAAACACAAACCTCACTTTCTTTTGTCCTTTTCTTTTCCAAGCTAACTTGGAAAAAAACCAACCTGCGTATTCCCGGTGAAACACCCTCTTCCTTTCGTTACCTTATTGTCGGAGAGCCCGGTGACTTGGTCGACAAACTCCTCCTGGATCATGAAGGCGGCCAGGTTGGCAGTGTAGGAGGCCAGGAAGATGACAGCGAAGAAGGCCCACACAGACACGATGAACTTGCTGGTGGTTCCTTTCGGGTTTTGCACTGGCACGGAGTTGTTGAAGACCAGACCCCACAGCAGCCACACGGCCTTGCCCATGGTGAAAGACGGGCCATGGGGGTCTGAGAGAGAGGGGGCAGGGGAGAGGATGGTTTAGAAGACATTGGGGAAAAAGGTGAGATGGCATAAAAAAGGAAAAAAAAAAACTTTTTTGTGTGTTGTAAATCTTGATGCTCACCTTTCCCCTGCGCCAAGTTTCTGTTGAAGCCCAGAGGACTGATGTACTCAAACATGAAGACAGCCATTGCAGTCACCAGTAGGAGCATCACAAACATCATCACCCACACTGATGCACTGAATGGCTCTGAAAGAGGGAGAGATAAACGAAAGAGTGTAAGTATTAACACATGTTGTGTTGTGCCACATTCATATACCTCATTACTTTTTTTCTGATTCATGCTTACTCGCACCGCACTCTGTTCCATGAATTTGAATGAGTAAATCAATCATGCACACACACACACACACACACACACACACACACACACACAGAGGGAAGAACTGCAGAGATAACAAGCTGACTCCTGCATGTTCACAGAGCCCTTACGCACCCCCCACCACCATCCACCACACACACACACACACACTTGCATATACCCAGGCACACCTCCTATTTGACAGTGTGAGGAGGTGTACAGTATAGGAAGCCCTGGTGTCAGCACTCCTGTCCTCCCTCTGAGTTCACAAGACTACTGCAGAGATTAAACCCTGCTCTAATGTATGGGAGAGCAGTGCTGGCACAGGGCTGCACACTGTGTGTGTCCAAATGTGTGTGTGTGTGTTTGCACGTATATGTGTGTGCTGGCAAGCGGCCATTATGGGGTTTTCCTGCTAAGCCCTCATAATTGCCACTTTCACAGCAGTAACTGCATGCTGCATACATGTGTGTGCCTGCTTCTGTCTTTCTGCCTGTGTGTGTGTCTCTTTGTACCTGTGTGTGTAACTTTGAACCATGCTGGAACGCTACGCATTAAGTGAACGTGACTGTGCAGCCATAAAAGGGATATCCATGATCACTCAGGTTAAAACCCTGTGGTTAAGTCCCTCTCAGGTAAGTGAGAGTCACTGTGGCAGGAAGCAGAAGTTGGACTAAATCCCTCAGATAAAAGAGCGAGTATTGACAGCCGTGCAAAAGGAGCTGAATTGTGTTGTCATCTCTGTGTCACGGTAAACACACACACACACACACACACACACACACACACACACACACACACACACACAATTCCAAAACAAATACTGTGCTACATTCACACAAACACAAAAGCAAACAAGACAGATCCTCCTCTCTCTCTCTGTGTCTCTCTCTCTCTCTCTCTCTCCTGAGTCGTGCAGCAACGCAACAGTTATTCAGCGACAGTTACCGAGGAAGGCTGACGGGGAGACCGTTCCGTTGCTACGGGAGACCATGACGCTGATCCCGGTTTCCACGAACGGGACGGAGAAATCGATGACCTCAGAACGCTCCTCATTGATCGTCAGAGATCCGACGGCCATGACGGCTTTCTTATAGACCACCTTTTTTTTGGGGGGGGGCACAGGGGGGAGAAAGGGAGGGAAAAAGTATGGATGGATGAGGATGGTGAGTGATGAGGTATGAAGGAAGAGAGAGAGAAAGGGGAGGGGAGAGATGTGTATATAAAGGATATGGAGGGAAGCAGGAGAAGGATAAAGAGAGAAAAATAATTTTTTCAATCACTGGGGTTTCCGTGATGAAAGAGACTTTAAATGCAACACACAATGAATGGCACCACGCTACACTCATCCCAGTGTTTGTTCAAATCCCTCTCTAGTGTTTAGTTGAAGTCAGAACGTTCCTACACCTACACACCAGAAGCAAAGATAATAACGGGGATATAATCTATTCCGTTATTTGCCTCAGTTGTCTCCTAACTCCACGTGGGCTCTGCAAATTAATCAGTCACGATATCACAGTTAAAACTAAAAACAAATGCAAAAACTTCATGAAACGGAGTGTGAATTTTATTGATTACACATTCTCAGGGTTTTTTAATCTCTGGTTGCAACTTAATTTAATCAAAATGCAAACGGGCGATGATTAAGATTAATTTTGTGAAAGTTTGTCATGAAAAATATAGAAAGCTATAAAGTTTATAGTCTCAAAATGAACTCTGGGGCTTTACCTTCACGTTGAGGCTGGTAATTAAAGACATGTAAAGTGGAGTTTTCTGCAGTGGCTGACATTTGTTTACTTTCCGAGCATTTACAGTTGGTTAAAAAAAGCCTCAGCGCTGTTTTTTTTTTTTTTCACCCTCTGAAAGTTTTTTAAAGTCAACACTTGAAGCTTCTCTTGGAACATAAGTAGCAGAAAAATACGATCATTATAATTATTCATCATATTCATTAAAAATTCACCGGCACGGTCAGGGATAGAAATTAAATGAAAAGAATTAAAAGAAATTAACGTCAGGCAGGGGGTGAGACCTCGCAAATTAAATCGATTCTCAAATAACTGTCCCCGCTGACATCAAACTAACAAGAACATCAAAATGGATCGGGTGCAGGAACACTAGGGCGAGATGAGAGGTCATATGTTCACAGGTCCAGGCGGGTGTGGACTTGAATCGGAGATAAAAGCAGGTAATGGGTCGGGAGTTGGCAGGACATACATTTACACATACAACTGGGAACCATCTGATTCTGCCCATTGTCTGATTTTAATGGTTTGTGTTGACTGACGATGGTTTAAAATGAATTTATTCTCTCTCTCTCTCACACACACAAACAGACACAGACCCAGGTTTGTTACCTACCTCTCCCACCATCCCATTCCAGACATTGTTTATCTTCTTTCCATGCTTGCCATTGGTTACCAGGTACAGGTCATAGGTGAACTTGACATACTTGGCAATTTTCTTCAGAATGTCGATGCAGAAGCCTTTGCAGCACTTCTTGATGTATGTCCCACCAGCCTCCGTTGTGTTGCTACAGAAACACAAAGACGGACACTTAGTCAAATGAGGATTTCAGACACACAACATTATAACACACAACACTGGGGCTGATCTGAAGAGCAGAAGCACCTGCTCTTTGCATGAAAATATGAGTGACCATGTAAATCCATGTTTTCAGATTTGGGTTTTTATTTTCACCATGTGTGACTTCAGATGGGTCCTCTGGGTTAAAAGCAAACAAAAAAACAGGATTCCTCTGTCTTTCCGTCACACTTGTTAAAGTTCATATGAATGCACCAGTGAGCAAATATCACCCCGGGACTTTTTCACCTTTAAATTTCGGTCGTTCTATTCTGAAATGACATCGGTAAGACGTGAAAAAAAAAAAGATGCTTCTCTCTCCCGTGTCTCTCTGGAGGAGGGGGGGGGGGGGGGTTTATGACGGCACTGCATATGCAAGCCTTGTACCATCTGTGTGTATGAATTTGAGAGCAGGAAAGTTCACACACACACACACTCATCCACGTGCACATCGACTTTCAGCCACCTGGGACTCTCATTTAACTTTTAGATGTGTGCTAATTAGCAGAAGATAGCCTCGCCCTTTAGTTTAACAACCTGGACACAAACTTGATGGAAAGTGAGGAAAAAAAAAAACACCTCCACACATTGAGCCGTGACGCTGCAGTTACCGTCAGAGCTGAAATCATGTCACTTTGGAGGAATTCTTTAACAACAGCAAAACATTTGCTGTTTTTTCTCCCCCCCCCAAGTGCTGCGTTACCCTCGCTCGTCACCATCGATCTGTCAAATGAATGTCACCCGAGTGGAATTCACTACTGTCCAAAAAGGACTTTCCTCTCTACGGTCTGATAGTTACACAGAAAAAGGTTCATTTGAAAAGGCGAGAAAAGTCGTAGTTGCAAGTGACTGACTGAAATAAATTATCTAATTTGCATGTAAATGTTCCTACAAACGTACAATGTGTTAACAAAATCAGCTTCTGTCATTATTAGTGAGGCACTCTGGGTTTTGTTTCCTCATCAATCTCGAATAAAGAAGTCTGAGCTGTGGTTATTCATCCAGGATAAACTATGAGGCAGGAAAACCTCCGGATCCGAAGCACGTTGATGACATTTCTAACATGTGACAGATGTGAAACAGAATTCAGAAAAGGAACAAAACAAGAGAACATCTGGAGGAAAGTCAAATTGGAACGACGACAAGATTTGAGAGCTTTTGGCGATGGGAGCCAGCGCCAAGGCCAAATGTGCCGCAAACAAAAACACTGGTTTCTGCAGCAGAATTTATACGTCAGGTTCTGCTTCCTGCTGATCTATGACATTGTCCTGTTGTGGTGAACGTGTCTGTGAAACGTGATCTCCAGAAAATGGGGGGTTGCTTGTGTCCGTAGATTCAAATCCATAACTTCAGTGAGTCCAAATGAATTGCAAATGTTTGTGGTGTAACTACGTGATAAGGTGATCCACCGAGGGGTGGATCCTGCAGCGAGTGGAATCTGTGATACTAGAAAACAGAAACAAGGACGGCTCCGTCAACTTTGTGGCAGGTTCAGCTGTGCAGGGGCTGTGACACAGCAAGCATATAGGTCAGAACTGTAATAGCTGCATTCACGGACGCAGTGTTCCCACTTAGACAGACCATGGTACAGTTCAGGCGGTGGGAGCATGTGATGTTATGGAGGCTGTTTGTGAAGTTGCCAGGCCAACTTGATATAGAAACACTACAGGGCCCGAGGGGTCTCCAGAGAGGGCAGTATGTGTGATTGTGTGTTAGTTGTTCTTAGGCCAAGCCTGGATGAGTGAATTTGTGGTTCTGCATGCATGGATAGTCCTCCACTCCACCCCCCCTACACACCCCACAACTCCCAATCCAACTCCTCCACCACTCCTCTCCTCCCTTTCCCTCCATCTAACCCTCTTTCTCCAAATGGACACCGCGGATGCTTGAGTGGGAATTGCGCTGTGGGAGAGGGAGGAATGCACCCGGATGCATTGGCCTGTGAGTGAGTGGACATGTGGCGACGGAGAGTGTACATGAGCTTGTGTGTTTGCGTTCCTCCTTGGAGATGCTTTATCCTTCGCCCTACTTCACAGTGATTCTCGATGAAAATCTCTGCTGGCCTCTTCCCTGGGACCTTATTACCGCTTAATCAGCTCTGTGTGTGTGTGTGTGTGTCTGTGTGCATGACATGTGTGTGTGTAATAGCTACAGACAGTTACTTTGTTTACAGTACATGTATGTACAGTATGTGGTGCTGAGAGTCTGTATGTGAATCTTGCAGTGAGCGTGTGCGGTGGCGTTCCAGTGGAGAAACACAATTTGATTATCTGCAAACTATTTACAAGGTTTGATCGGCAGCAATCACATGCACACGCACACACACAGTCTCAGTCAGTGTGTGTGTGTGTGTGTGTGTGTGTGCACTATAGAACACACTACAGCAGGAGGAGAGAAATTTAGGCATTAGAGAGAAATTTGGTGAAAAGGAAGGAAGTAAAGTGCTGAGTTCAGCAGTCGCCTTCATTTTCAGGGGGAGGAAAGAAGCTGCTGCAGAGATCTCACACACTGCACCTCCGACGTGCTCATGAGAGGAGGGAGAGTTTGACGCAACGCCAGAGAAAATGGAAAATACTGATTTTAATCAACCAATTATCAAATATTTTGATATAAAATGTAACGCTCAGTGTTGTATAACCTCCAAGATTAGTTAGTTAGATAGTGGATTGCATCATATGGATGTTACAGTATCTGTCAGTCAGTGTGTTCTGGAGGTCAGGGTTGCGTAACGTTGATTATGAGTAGCTGTTGACTACATTACATCATTGATGTGGCTTCACGCTGAGGGGACAGAATCACAATGTAACACTGGATACTGATAAACAGTATACAGTACAATGTATACAGCCTTATTACTATTCGTCAGTATATTGATAAACCTGGTGAGTTCATATATTCAATCAATTACAGGTTTTTCTTTTCTCTGAACTATAAAATCTGGACAGATCACCAATCACCTTCACCAAGAAAGGTATGTTTTCTTACGTGTTGGTTTGTAGCAGGATTATGGAAAAAAATATAAAACTTATTTCCATGAAAGAGAAGAGGTGAGACATCGCAAGAATGAGATTTTGCACTGAAACAATCGGAGATATCAATGACAGTCAAACCTACTCTTTGATATGCTTCCTGCAGGGGACAGAGTTCCTCATGCAGGTACCAGTGAGCCTCTCTACGTCCTCCACAATAACGAAAGGCTTCTCCTCCAAAGTGACGATGGACAAGTGGTTGTCGTCGAGCTCGGCGTCACCGAAGGAGTTGAAGCGCGGCCACACCGGGTACTTCAGAGTCAGGCTGCGGTTGTCCAGCTTTCCCATCTGGAGGGAGGGAGAGGAAGAGAAAAAAGGGTGAATTGATAAATGAGCGACGAGTTGCCTCACACCAAGGCTGTTAAATCACTCACAGTTGAATTTGGATTTTAGGTGTTTATCCAATACTTAATAATGAATAGTTAGCAGGTTGGGAGTCAGCATCTGCCTGAAGACACTTTCTGTAAGACCCAAGAGCTCGCACAGCAAAGACAGTCTGTTTAAACATTTGTTGGCGTCACATCAAATATATGCAGACAGGAAGTGGTGGGGAAAACTACGTCCATCAGTCAGGGATCATAACATGTGAAGATATAGAGAAACAGAGAGTTACTTTTCTTTACCTGTGAATCTCCTAACTGCTGTAGTCAGCTGCACAATGACTCAGAGTAGAGAGGAAGTGGAGATGATTAAGGATGCAGACACAAGTCACATATGCTGCTGCCTCTTTTGACACAAACACATACAAACCAGAATATATGTTGTTGCCAGAGCACAATAGACGTGACTGCCATCATGACTGTAGGTACAACATAACAGATTAAAAGCATGGTGTGTAGAGATGCATGACACAACGCACACAGAGGAATATACAGTATGGCTGTGGACGCAGGAACACATGAGAGAGGGAGAGGGAGAGGGAGAGGGGGCAGTGTGATAGCACGGTGACGCCGTTAATAATTCAGAAAGTTTTCAGAGTGCTGATGTCACAGAGTCCCCTATGGATGCTCTCTGCCCACCCACACCTGTCGTTTGAATGTATGTGTGTGAGTGTGTGTTCGCCCGTGTGTGTGTGTGTGTGTGTGTGTGTGTGTGTGTGTGTGTGTGTGTGTGTGTGTGCCTGCGCTATTTACGCATGTTTTTGTCAGACGGGGGAGTCGGAGAGGAGGAGAGAGAGACAGCAGCAGGCAGCGAGGCTTTGCTCGACGCTCAATTATTAATGTTACAGGAGCAAGAAAATGGCAAAACCTCGCTCTCACTCTTTCCCTCCATTTCAAAAGTTTCTTCTCTCTCTCGCAGCGTAAAACAACAGTGAAGCTTTTGTGAGGAGGGAAGTGGTTTGCACTTTTTATGGGGGGGTTACACACACACACACAAAAACACATGTTGATGGGGATTAATGTGAAAAGGAAAAGGAAAGGGACAAGATCCTGGTGCAGGAAGTCTTCAGGTTTAGTAAACAGTCTATAATAAAAGCACAACTGGTGCAACACATTGACTGAAATTCCTCGGCTATCTGCTTTTTAATTCATCTGCATTCAGAAGCATATTACCCCAAATTTTGTCTGGACCTAAAACATGAACAGAGAGTATCACAAATGACAGATGGGGAAAAATTGTATACGATTTGTGTTGTTTGTTTTGTGTTGGAACAAATTAAATGTACACATAAGACATATACAGTAAGATAGCAATGTAATGGCTGTTACCTGGACACACACGCACACACACACACACACACATTTTGTTGCCTAGCCTGCAAGCCATTCATTCACGGGCGATCAGCGAGGAAGTGAAATTAGCATTTTAATTGTCTCGCTTTGAATGTTTTTCTATCATCTGACAGGGATTAGAGACTTTTCTCCGTTCTTAGACGGCACCACGGTCAACAGCTCACTCCGCTCTCCACTACATCTGTGTGTGTGTGTGTGTGTGTGTGTGAGGGGAGTCCAGGACTGTGTGTTGAGGTGGCATGTGTGTCACCTTCACTCTTCAGGAAACGGCCACATTTGTCTATCTGTCTAACCCCAGCTGTTTTGCATTTCACAAGCGAGTGAATGCGGCGCACACACAGACTCATGTGAGCGTGTGTGTATATGTGTGTCTTTTCAAAGGGGTAGGGAGGGAAGGTAGGGAAATGGGATTGTAAATGTAAAAGTGAGGGGGAATTGGTGCATAATAAGTAAGATAAGACTTGTGTGACAGAAATAATGGGAATCGGAGAAAACAAAACAGTCAGAGAGGAGATGCACGGAGAGAAGTGTGGGTTCAAAACACTGGGATCTGTTCTGGAGTCTTTTTCTGTTCTTTCTAAGACAATAATGCAGCAGTTCCCTCCTGTGTGTGGTCTGCTGATATGCTCTGGTGTCTACATGTAAAAAAACATCACATTTAGTTTTTATTCAGCAATTTGTCTTTTTATTTGACCAACCTGACGTTATCTAAATTGTTTTAGTTTCACCACCTATTCCACCTTTAACTCAACACAACGTCAACCTGGAAACACACAACTCCAGTCCGGCCCGTTCGATCATTAATATCAGCTCGTGAGAAGTGGCTCTGGTTTGGTTGGATGAGTCGATAAAAATGAGAAGGAAAAGAGGTGGAGGAGGAGAAGAAGCTGACTTCAGCAGCTCCTCTGATTTCCTGTCCTCCTGCTCTTCTCTTCCTCTCTATCCCCCCCTCGCTCTAATTAAAGAAAGAGGGGTTATAAATTAATGCCAAGAGAGGAGAGAGGATTCTCTCTATCGACCGGCCGATAAGGCAACCGAATCCTGGATGTCCCCGTATAATATGACACACACACGCATTACATAGAATGCAGTGAGTGTGTGTGTGTGTGTGTGTGTGTGTGTGTGTGTGTGTGTGTGTGTGTGTGTGTGTGTGTAACACGACAGCAAGGCCATGGGGGTAATGATGATAGACCCTTTGGGATTACTACATCATAAGATCCCACAGCGGCAATCCTATCGCATCATCACCCTGCGACGGATTTAAAGGCTCTTGGTGATGAGATGACACTCTGCCCGAGAAGAGTTGGGGTTTACTCTCCTTACTACTCTTTCTTTTGACACCTCAAATCTGCCCTCTTTCTCCATTCTCTCCATTTTGTCCCCTGCCCTTTACTTTACCTGGGACACCTTCTTCTCTCCCACTCACGCACGCACTCTAACACGAGCGTCAAACTGAGCTGAAAGAAACGGTGGCTGAGTGAGTGAGAGAGAGTGATGGAGGAATAAAGAAAGGTCAGGGCTCTTACACCGAGCACCTTCTCTCTGCCAGTCTCCCTGGGAGAGTTATCGCTGTGGCACGTTGCATTATGGGAGAACGAGTTCCTAATAGCGCGGAGAAACCCATTCAGTCATAAAACAGTATCTGTCACTCCTGTCAGACAAAATTATGTCGGTAAAATGGATTCTGCTCTCCCTCTCCTACGCTCTCTCTGTTTATATGTGTGAATGTGTGTCCCTGCGTGTGTGTGTGTGTGTGTGTGTGTGTGTGTGTGTGTGTGTGTGTGGAGAAAACAAGGGCAGAGAGAAAGAAGATGACAGAGCAGAAGAGCGAGAGAAAGCTGCATGCATGGATTTAGACATCTTTCCTTGAAGTTAAGTGCTTTTATTAAGAGTGAAAGAAGTAGTGACGCCTGGATAGAAACTGTGCGTGTGTGTTTGTGTGTATACGCATGTGGGCTCCTGTGTGCGTCTGCTCTCCATATTGTGATTCTCCAAGCACAAATCCCATGCTGTCTGTAATAATTATTTTGTGAACTGGCTGCTAACACTGCAGCAGTTCCTGAAGCAATTTACACACTCCATCTACTCAGCAGGAATAAAACATAACATCCTGGTTCTGATCGGTAAATACACTTTCCTCATTCGGTCGGTGAAGACGAACTGTAACTGCGAACACAGCGAGGAAAGTCATCATCATTTCTGCCGTGTCATCAATAACAGAAATGTCTGTTTCCACAAAGTTTCTCCAACTGTGTTTTTACAGGACCAAGCATTTTCTGATTCCATATCATGAGCTTTAAATTGTCAAAGCCTGAAAGTCAATGAACGCACATCATGAATTACCCTGATGTCGGATAGATTTTATCATTTTCAGGAGATGTGAAGTATTTCTACTTCGTTATTTTCTCTGATACAACAACGCAACTAACCTCATTTCGTTTTTCCTTGACTGAAATTATGTTAAGATGACTTTTAAAGCAAAAATAAAAGGATTTGAAACATGTTTTATATGTGATGGAGCTTTGATCTGACTCAAAGTATTAAAATCAAGTCACAACTATTTTACAAGCATGTGAATAATGATATAACATAAAATTATATGAGAATAAGTGTACATTTGGTATCACTGCAGGTATTTTGTGTGAAGATAAATGCATTTTGAGTTGCCCCACTTCTGGTAAAGTGTTAATGGACTAAATAAGGGGGTGTAACAACCTGTTTGAAAGAGAAAATGTGTGTTTAGAGACCATCGCTCATACATATTATTTAATTCATTGTTTGGCATGTTTAAAGTATATGTGTATGAGGAAAAGAAAAAGTTGATGCAAACACACAAACATTAAGTTAAAAGCTAATCTTAATGTCTGTCTGTGTGTGTGTGTGTGTGTGTGTGTGTGTGTGTGTGTGTGTGGCTTTTATCGTCAAAGTAAAACTGAATCCTTTAATCTGTTTGATACTGGATGAAAGTTGAATTAATTTATTGCTTTAAAGTTTAGCATGCACCATCTTTTTTTCCTGCAGAAACATGTATGGTGAGAGCTTCTATGCCAACCCTGGCCCGGCAGCCTCCATCTCACTTGGTATTCTGTCTTGCTGCTGATTTGTTCAGTTGTTACTGAACAGTTCATCTCTTTCAGATAACAAGTCTAATTCAGCATAAATCCCCCATAATGCCACACTGGGTCCAGCCAACTGATCCAACTACACCTGCTTGACTTGCTGCAATCTGCTCTCCTCTCGAATAGAAGAACTGTAATTGACTTGCAGTTACGTAATCCTGAAAAAACATTTTCTGATCACCACGCACATTGAGCGAGACAGGTGTAGAGAGGTGGTCCTTCGCAAAACTTAAAAGAACACTGCATGTCTGTGGAGAACAGCAGGTGTGGATGCTTTGAAAATGTGAGCGCTAAACACCTGTAGTGGGCGGGTGAGAAGGGGGAACACACACACGGTTGCGACTCAGCTCCACCTCTCTCTTCCTCCGTTTCCCTCTCTTCCTGTTTCCCTTTCTCGCGCTCATTTGCTCCCACTATCTCAGCCCATCTGTCTCTATCGCTCACTCGCTCGCCTCGGTATCGCTCCATATTGCTCCCTCCTCTCCCCGTCTCTTCTGTCTCTCCTGTGCCCCGGGGGGACACATTTTATATTTTTAGTACATATCCATATTTTAGTGCAGTTACTGAATTTTTATCTCTTGATCGTCATGGAAGTCTCTCTCTCTCTCTTTCTCTGTGTGTGTGCGCGCCGCTGATTTCTGGTGCATGGGTGGGACGGCTGCACCAGACTGACAGAGAGAGAGAGAGAGAGAGAGAGAGAGAGWGAGAGAGAGAAAGAGAGAGAGAGAGAGGAGAGAGAGAGAAGCTCCCAATTATATTTCCACTTTGGGTCTCCGTGTCTCTCTTGCCTTCAGTGTCTTTCTCTGCACCGCGGTGAAGTGGTACTGATCAATTTCACAGCCTTTCTGTTTACAACAACACACTAGCTCCCCTCTGCATGCCGACAAAGGGTCTTTTGTGTGTGTGTGTGAGTGAGTGTGGTTGTGTGTCAGTATGAAATATGAAATAGCTAGTCTCAAAGATTGGGAGGAGACTGTGCGGATTGCGCAAAACAGAATACTGTAACACACACACACACCGATGTGACCTGAATAAAGATGAGATTGGTCGAGCACAAGTCTCCTGAATAGTGTTTCTGTCAATAACCAGTGTGAAAGGGTAAACACACACACACACACACACACACACACACACAGAGGAGCAGTGATCCCTTGCCACCCCAATAATGGAGGTCTCAGGTTTTGATTAACTGTTGTTTGAGCTGCTATCAGAGACCACAGCAGCAATCACAGCTAAAGACAGGCAGAGTGCACAGATTATCTGGACTTGGGAGAGATGTGAAAGAGAAGGGATAGAGGGGGGGGTGGGGGGTTGAAGGAAAAGATGGAGGCGGACAGAGGAAACGGAAGAAGACAGACGTGAGGTGAGATATGTTGCGAGAGGAGGAGACAAAAAGTGGTGAAAAAAAGACAACATACATCTCTCTGACTTCCTTATCCAAATCCTTTCTTTGGCCACACCTCTCTCTTTTACTATTCTTCCTTCAAGCTTGTCATCCACTGAGCTACGAGCTATTAGGGGCATTGAAGATGAGGATTGAATATGAGGTACTTAATCCTGTGCCGAGCAGCCAGGTGTAGGTGCAGAGATACATGGCTGCCATTTAAAGTCCATTACAACAGCGATGAATACTCCTCTGGCCATTTTTCACAGAAACTTTTCTCATATAGAGATCTAAGCATGTTGGTAATCATCATCATTTTCAATTCTCGTCTTTCGGACTTTCTTGCTGGTTTTGTTTTCGCGCCGCATCTCTCAGAGATCACTTGGCAGGAAAAAGATTGTGAGTATAACTGCAATGTCTTATCAATCTTATCAATGTATTATCGGTTTAGTCACAATGATGCTACCGACCCAGATCCTTGCATGTAACGAATAAGGAAGCCTTTTGGTTAAAGGAATAATATCGTGTCAGTCAGGAACAGAGGAAGACAAAACAATCTTGTGTTAGAGCTCAGCCAGCACATGCAGTTTGGTATTATCGGTCTATGTTGAACAGATATATTGGTATAGAAATTACAGAAGCTCCAATAATAATAAAAAACGACAGTATTAACCAAAAGCAACAGAGAGAATCTTGCAACCAAACTCTGGTGTGAATATGGGTATGGTAGAGAATGGTAAACTCCATTTAAATTCAAATAATGATTTTTAGGCCTAAAAACAGCAAAAGAAAACTAGAGAGCAGAGAAATGAATGTGTGTAAAATAAAAATCACAGCGGGTGTAAGCTGTGTGTCCTCAGTGATACTTTCTTCCCCCTGAAGAACACATGTGGTTATTCTTACACATCAACCAGACAAACACCGTTTTTAAGACGCCTACCTTCTCCCACTCCCTTTCCTTGTTGAGAACAATCACCACCAGCTTTGGGAATTCTTGGTAGCCATCTTCTGTAAACGACAAGTCTCTGCCGTCCCATGTCACATTCATCATGTACCTGAGAGAGACAGGAGAGGGGGAGGAGGAAGAGGAAGGGGGGAGATAAGATTTAAGAGAGATGAGAATGAACAAAGGGGGGAAGGGAATGTGGAATAATCCGAGAGTAAGAAAAGGAGAGAAATGAAGGGAGGAGAGGAAAAGGGATACTGAATTAAATTAGCATGTGAAAAAAGACAATTAAATATCCTGAAATATCAGCCTCTTTTGTACAGAAAATTATAAATTCATATTTGACTCACATGCACGGACTGAATTATGATAAAACTCCAGAAATGAAAAAGCATCTGGACAGACGAAAAACTGTGTGTGTGTAAGTGTGTGTGTGTAAGTGTAGTATAACCTGTGAGTACCCACAACTCGTTGAAATCAGAGTATTACTATTGAAAAGGGAAAGTGAACATAAATAGTACCCAACAGTCCATACTAACGCCACACACACACACACAGTAATGAGTGGCCCATATGGCAGGTCACATTAGCTAAGATGGAGGGGAGTGGGGAGATATTCTTGGGTCTACACAGCCTCCACATTAATCACGGCTGTCCCTCCCCACTGTCTCCCTCACTCCTTCTGTCAGCGGTTATGTACAACACTCTTCTCGTCCACTTCCTTCTCCGTTCTCGGGGTTGCGTGGCGACAGAAGAAACTTTGAAATGAAAGAGTGGAATCCTGAACCCATGTGACGCATGAACCCATGTGATGCGTCTCATGTAGATGTTCTTTCTTTCTGCTCTTTCACATAAAAAGCACATAAAGCTACTTTAATGCCACGAATATCATGAACCACAACACATGATCTTCTAAATATGAATGGAATTGTAAATTTACAACATGTCATGACACCGACACGTTACTTTAAATTGCTGCTGGCGACACACGTACAGCCACTCAGATGAACCTACAGCCAGCGATGTGATGAAATTGACCTGACTGGCCCTGCGAGCGACCACCAGGTAGTATTAAGACATTTGATTGGACAGGGGACGCAATGCTGAACCCAATTATGTGCAGCACAGAAATCAATAATCAATAACACACCATTTGTGTGTGAAATTTAATATTTATGGGGGAAGAAGAATTCTGACAATGACCATTTGTATGTGTTACTAGGTGTTCATGTGAAAATCAGTAGAGTGGAGAGGAACATTATTACAGTTTGTGAGCGAGAACAGGATGCAGACAGGACGGGCAGACATTGTGTGTGTGTGTGTGTGTGTGTGTGTGTGTGTCCACAAGTATGTTTAGGCCGACGCCCACCAAACAGGTGGACCTGAAATGGGCGTTGCTAGGATACTGCCACAGACTGGAGTATGCTGGAGGATGACCCTAAACAACCCTGAATGAACATCCTTACACACACACACACACACACACTTATTACTCTGCACCCCTTAATAATACTCCACGTAACGTTTCCTCTCCCCTGTAGCACTGAGATCACAGTAAAGCAATCCAATTTCTCTCACTTCTCTGCCTCCATTATATCAGTAATCTCTCTATTCATTAGGGTGGGGGTGGGGGATTTGAAGAGAGCGAGCAGAAAGCGGAGAAAAGGGGACACCTAAAAAAAAGAAAAGAAAAAAAAGAGTGATTGAAAGCATAAAGATAAGAGAGATGGAGCGAGAGAGATGGAGAGAGAGAGAGAAGTGTGACGAGGGGGGGACGAGAGCTAAGCCTCGACAGAGTTGGGATAAAAATATCCTCTGTGTTATTTTTTCTCCTTCTTTCCTCTTATTTTGGGCAACGGGGGCTGCGATGGGAACGAGGGAAGGAGGGGCCACTGCAGCACAGAGTTAACCAGTGCTACACAATCACTGCAGCACACACACACACACACACACACACACACACACACACACGCTGCATTACAGCAGCCTGTGCCAAACGCTCTCCGTTTGCGTTGCTGTCTTAATCCTCCTCTGCTGAGCGGTGACAGAATGTTAATGGTGTAGATAATAAAAGACAGTGACTTTTTTTTTAAATGTGCTCCATCTTTTTATTTCACGCCGACCAGCCGTCTTCTCTCGAGACACCAGCGTCAACCAGCTCTTGACACAGAAGACACTGCATCTCAAGTGCTCACTTATTCCAAGTTCCTCTAATTAGAACGGTCATACTTTGTGATAAGAACTCTGCGTCTTATCTGAGGGGGGTTTCACTGCAGGGTCCCCACGAAGAGGGAAGGATGAGTTTTATCGCTGTGTGAGCGTTAAGAATAGAGACATTAATCCTTCGTCAAGACAAGGACCAGTCGAGGCAATGATGTATAATGTCAGAGCGCTCGTGATCTATTGAGTGCACACTCACGCTGAGGCTGTGAGAGACACAAGGGGTGAAGGTTCTTTAAAAAGATGATGGTGCTGATTTAGATTTTAAAGAGTAGCCGGGGGTGGGAAGTGAAAACACACACACTGAGCCTCAGGTGGCATGTGTTCAGCGTGGCATGAATGATGACTGTACAAGGTGATATAGATGCGAGCTTAGCAGTGTCTCTTCCCCTCCGTGTGTGTGTGTGTGTGTATGTGTGTGTGTGTGTGTGTGTGTGTGTGGTCATTGTTTGTTTGGGTTACAGCAGCACAAGATTAATGCTCCCAATTACATTCGTCTTTTCCAAGCTTGCGTTTGCACCATAAAATGCAACACATGTCCACACAGCTACCTCAGCAGGATTTCTTTTGCTGCACAAAATATTGTGTGTGTGTGTGTGAGAGAGTGTGTGTGTGTGTGTGTGTGTGTGTGTGTGTGTGTGTCTGTAGCGTAGTTTCAAAACCATGTTTCTTTTTCAGCAACAACATTTCAGGACAGAAATCACTGCACGACACCAGTGCACCTTTATTTTTTTACATTCCCATCCCTCTGATGAAAAATTAACAATCATCTTGTGCTCTGAGATTTGCAGCAGTTCACACTGCTACTCGCTCCTGTCTCTCACACCGTCTACACACACATTCAAACCAAAAGCAACTTGATGGTTGTTTATCTCTCAGATGTCAATCACACACTGTTGCTGCTTCATTGGGACGCCTGCTCTGCCCCACAGATACCAGACTCTGACCTTGATACATCTCTCACCCTGTAAAAATAACTTCACACTACCTCAGTAAAATCTAATTTGCTGAATTTTCTGACATGTTTTAAGCAGATAATTCAGATTTCAGGCTCTGATATGAGTTGTAAATTTCAGAAAATTAAATCAGATACATTGGTCATGCTGAAAGTTGACTATTCTATCAAAAGCCGTTGAAGTCTGGACACTTTCCCAAAGTTTTCCGCTTTCATGATGAAAAAGGATCCATAACATGTAGAAGATGCCAGAGAGTCAAGATGTCAACTTGGATGTTGTGAACACTTCTGACCCGAACTATGGGAGAAGGCAAAGACCTATTTTATGGACAGAGTTCATGTCTGAAAATCAAACTTGATGTCTTTTAGATTGTTGTTCACCACTCTTTTGTTTCAGCAATTAAGCATTAAATAAAAGGTTTTGTATACCCACTCACAGACCAACATCTGTCACTCATCTGCTTTAAACGATTTAGTCTTTGTCAAACTAACTGTTTCCTGCAAGACAAACTGATTCTTAAGCTGATGAGAGAGAAGAGAGGTTTCTGATTTCCATGATTCCAGATACTCAAACAGTAACTCAGTCTATCACTTCTTCCTTTTTCAGTATTTGTTCTAGTCCTTCCTCACTCTGTCTCCGAATGTCTGATTTCAGGAACATAAGAATAAGTGTCTATGTGTCGTTTCTTTACAGTCTTTACATGAGTAATATAATTAATGTATATTCACCTGCAGATGTGTCGTAAATTTCTCAAAATCTCTGCTACCACAAGAAACCCACAAACAGTGTTTACACATCCTGGTTTGTATCAGGTCTCATCCAGGTTTAATGTTTATCTGTGCACATTCTCAGCAGGATACTCCAACCTGTGCTGCAGAGCATGTAAACACACTCAGTGATGGTTACATACAGAGACAGATGATTTCGAGCCCCTGCAAACACTTTGTGCATTTGTTATTGTAACCATGACAATGAGCGTACTACACGGCTTAACCGCTGTATTTCAGGAGGAGGACAAATGACATACACGGTTGTTCACGCTGGGGGACTTCATGTCCGTCTCCATAGGTGGCCGTGTATAAGTATATTCCCCAAGTAGTGAAATACCCATAATCTATGTGAGATCACTTCATGTAAAGGAATTTCTCACAAATCACATCAACTGCGGACTGAAATGTACAAGTGGGAATAGAATAATAAATACAAATACACGTAGTCAAGCAGGTAGTCATGCAATAATGTAATATTTATATGTTTCTTTCAGATATTCAAAGCTTATGCCCTTAACTTTTGTGAAATATACAAACACAATTTGAGTCTTATACATACGACTCTACACAGTTAAAAGTATAACTGCATTTAATAAACTATTATTAAATCTGTGCAGATATCTCCCACACTCTGTGCATGGTGGCATGTTAGCTCATGTCTCTGCACAGTTCACATGACAGCTGCTCCAGGACTCAGTACAATATATGTAGGAGTGTGTGATATGTGTAGGTGTGTACATGTGTGTGGGTCCTGAGTTCTGACCCTCATATATCAGGGCTGCAGATCCTGAAATTACCTGTCAGAACAACCTCACACGTGTACACACACGCACGTACACACACATAAATAAGTGCTTAAGTCTTTTAAGGCGCGCTGTTCACCACTGCAAGGTGAGAAGTACACTGTAAATCGGTCATGACAGAACATTCACTTGAGGGGGGGCGTATTTCTCTTGTTTCCAGCACAGACACACACACACACACACAAACACGTACACCTGCCATATTTTACGTGGAGCACTACTTGTCACTTGGCCTTATTGCTGCACTGGCCACTGCTCTTAGTTGGTCATTTGTCTCCTGTTTTTATTTAATTCTATTTTTCTATTACTCTGCAAAACATATTTATATTGGATGTGTCGCAGTGGATTTATTATCAGAGCTGTCACAGGCAAAGTGAGTGAGGTAGAACTTCACTGCGGGCCCACACTGCACGGCACCAGTCAAAGGAACTGCAGACTTTTCTGTGATTTCAGCACCGACTATTAATATTATTCTCATCAAAATAACTTTTGTTCTACTGCGACAGTTTTCTGGCTCCCTTAAGGACGGAGGCAGCATCCACTGCAAATCAAATTGTTGTCAGGAATCACAGTTGAGGTGTTCGAGCAAAGTATCTCATGCATTTCAAACAGAATGCTTTAGAATGTTTAGACGAGGATGCAGTTTGGCAGTTTATCAACATGAACTGAAGAGAAGGAGCGAAAATAAAATACTGTGACACGATGTTAGTGATTTGATGTGTCACACGGGTGTTGTACATTTGCACATATAGCCCATCTGCCCACCTCTGTGTGTATACGTGGGTGTGTGCACGCTGGCATGTTCTCATATCTCCCCTGACAGCCGTTGATGGTCTAACAACCCACACTGGCCCGTCGCCCCGACCTGGCCTTGACCAATCAGGTTTCTTGTGTCCTGGCCCTGAAGCCTTATTGGCTGAGCTTTCTCACCCACAACACAGCCATCTGTGGCAACTCATCACCTGGGTAACAACCTGAGGCAGCAGAGCATGCTGGGAACAAAGTCAGCTGGCTCTGGATATTTGGTGACTCTCTGTTGGTTTACCTGCGTTTTCCTGACAAAACATGAGTTATATCACTGTGGATGTGGTATTTAAAATTTTTAAGATGCAATCAGTCATACTTTACGGTCTCTCTGCACAAAATAACCATAATTTACTAGTGAGAGCTCATAAATATTGCTGAACAATGCCAGTTAGTTGAGTGACTGCTGCGATTTTAACCTCTCCAAACAGGCACAGTCCCATTTTTGCGGCGACCGCTCCAATCTCCCAGGCTTCCTGAACTACCCACGCATGGTGCACAGTGCATTTTGTTCCGTTTCTGCAAAACCCAAATTAAAATTGATTGAAAGCCTGAGGGAGGTTCAGACTAAAAACATCTTCAATACTGATGCAAAGTACATCAGGAGCCAGAGAAGAAACCGGTGATGTAATGTTAGGACACATGAGCCAAAGGACTTTTGATTTATGGACCAATTACATGAAAACGTATTAGACCAGTTAAAATTTATAGACAGTCGCTGTAAACTGACCTCAGAGGGAAATGTTAGACTTCTATCTTGAATTCCAAAACTGATATTAGTTTAGCAGAGGCAATTGCTGGGATTAATTCAGTTTAAATGATTATATTGTTGTTACACTAATGCTGAAACACTTTAGAGTGCTCTAAATGCACCTGATTCATTATTAATCTCTCACTATCTCAATGTTTTCCTCTCTCTCTCTGTCGGCTCCTCGGTTTTTTTTACGCTCAGCCTCTCGTCCTTCTCTGAGATGTGGAAGACCAAAGGTTTTTAAACCTTTGAGAAAATGACATGATGTTTATTCCTTTAGTAGTAAAGCAGATTAATAATGTTGATTTCATAGTTCCTCACTGGAATTCCTCCCAGTTTTATACCATGTATAATAAACCTACTTGTTTGCCAAAAGCACATCCATATACTTGTCGTGGTTCTGTTCCATCCATCTTAATTGCAAAATAAAGCACAATGGAGACGGGAGAACATTTCTGAATTTTGCAATATTCGTTTTGGAATCAGAATGACTCATTTCGACTGAAGAATTTCAATTTCACACATTGTTATAAAAAAAAAAAACAATATTGGGATGTAAACACAGGTTGTGTGTTGCTGTGCTTCCCTCCTCTGCCAGATGGAGAGCCAGACAGAGCTGGCAAGACCTTCAACATCTCCCACTGGCTGCTGGGGAGCGAGCGCACGATGAGGAGGAGAGAGTGAATGAGAGATGGAGGAATAAATGAGAAAAGGAACAGAAAGACTCATCAAGGAGCTCTTCAATTTTGGAGGGCATTCATTTGTAGCGGCCTCCCGCTGTCACCCCGGTCTCAATTTCTTCCCTTCCCCCTTCACTTTACTGGCTAAATCATAAACTTATTCCTCAACTTCCATTCATATGTTTCCTTCTCTACCTCCTCCTCCCACACTTCTACACTTCCTCTGACTCTCTTGGCTCTGACTCTCAATGCTCTGGTCTTTCATCCAGTAATTGTATCGTTTTTCAGTCTCAATCCGTGGAAACTTGGTGGAAGTCTCCAATTACAGAGGACACACTCACACACTCACACACTCACACACACACACACACACACACACACACACACACACATGCTGCTGTTTACAATTTCTCTTCATTAAAAAGACACATTGCTCGCTGCCTTTTTCATTCATTCGTTTTTCTTCGTTTTTACTTACTTGTGTAGAGCGCTGGGCGGCAGCTTGGACGTCTTTTCCATTTGGCCATAACAGGATGTTTTGGCTTCAGGGATGTCGCCGTACTCCTCCAACATGGCTGCTGCTGCCGACGTTATGATCCCCAAACCGTCACGAACCCGCGCCTCCAGCGGGTAGTCCCAGTCGTCGTACGACACCGATATCATTCCCGACGGGAAGTCTTCGGGCGTTATCTCTGGGTTCCCGGTGGTGAGAGACGGCACAATCCAGATGTATCCAAATCCGGTGAGGCCTAGGGAGCGGGCCTCGTCCAGGATGTAGACCGCCTCGTCCTTGGAGCAGTAGAGCAGGACCACTGGAGACTGGACCTTCTTGAGCATGATCTGAGACCGACTGTCTTCCTCCACCGCGTCCAAGGTGATGATATTCTGCAGGTCCCACCCCACAAAACTGAAGCAAGGATAAAGACGACAGGAGTGAAATGTTAATATTTAACTAATAGACTATTACCTTGGCAGAGGTGCTGACAAGAGCACATAATTATCCATTACAATTAATATCATTGTTAAGTGCGACATGAATACTAATGGGTGTAAAGTGCTTATTGTCAGGGGAATCACATTAAGGCTAAATGGAATGCAAATGCTAAAGCTGCTCCTGTATAATGATGCTCAGCAGCTAAAGAACAAACAGTGGCTTGTTAATGTGAGAGGACCAAAGCAGTGCCTGTGGTCAGTTTGCTAAGTGGTGACAACACAAAAGAGCGCTGTCATCGACACAGAAGCCTCCAACTTCGAGCTTCTGACACGTCTTTTGCACAAAACAACAGCCGCACTAATATTGCCTTTGCTCAAGCATGTGGTTTTAATCTGGTTCTGTGACCAGTTAGCTAAAGTGGGAACTGTGAGAAAAATAAGCGCTCATTAAGCAGATAACACAGTTGCAGAGGATCTTTTTCATCCAGTGGGACTGACTGTGCTTTATCACAATGTCCACAGTGATAATATCCAGCAGCAGCCAGTTTAGAGGACTAAAGAGCAGCAGAGGAAATGGCCATTATGTTAGTAATTACAGAACATGATATGTCATAAACCGGGGGCATGGCGGCACTGCCCGACAAAGACGGATGTTCGTTCACATCAGAAGCAGTTAAACATCATGTAAGAACCTAACATTAGACAGGTGGTGTAACTTGAGAGTGATCTGGGACCTGTCCTCTTCCTGCTGTCCAAAGTTATAATGGTCTACCACAAGGTCCAAATGACAAAACTAGTAAAGAGAGACAACGATACTCAGAGAGAACGGCAGAGAAGCAACACCGGAGATGAGGTTGCAGGGAGGATGCAACAGTGGAGTGTTCAGGACGTGGTTCAGGAAATGAATTCATGGTTTTGTGCAGAGTCATAGCACAGATACTAATATGTCACAACAGCCTTTACTCAATTAGTTGACTGGCACAATGTTCTGCTGTGAACGATGGGAGTTCAAACTGTTCTCTCTATGACTCAGTCACTTTCAACCAATCCACAAATGATAGCCTTGTTGTTCCAATTCCTTTTTTCATAAATTGTTGAATATTACATTAAAACTGAGGTCAAACACGAGGATTCTTATTTATATATACATGTGTTTTGTTTTTAATTACAGATTTTTAAGAAAGTGGAGATATATTTTGGAAAGGCTATCATGAATTTCCAAATGAGGAAAACCACTATTTTGGATTAAAGAAAGAAAAAATCGAAATCTCTGCACCGAACGAAATAATTTTTCAATAGCTCGTGTTTCCTAGATTCCAAATATTGAGAATTATTGTAAGGAACAAATTCCTCTAATCTTATTTAATTAGCCGTTTAACAATGTGTTGCAGCCCGACTATAATTAATTCCATTTAAGCGTCACCAAATTCAGACAGGCTGTGGGTTTTTGAAGCGCAGCCCGGTTTGACATAAAGAGTAACTGCTAATGAAAACGACCGTCCTCAGCTGGGCTTCTATATATCACAAGTGCAGGCACCAACCTTTGCCAACATCCCAACGTTGCTGCAAGTGTATCATTCGTTTGACATTTGTTGGACAAAAATTATGGCTCGCTGTTCTTTTCTTTTTTTTCATTCCTTTCTCTGTGGATAGAACTAACCCATCCGTCAGAATGACCTAATGGTGCAGCACACAGCCAAGCTGCACGCGTAAGAAAAGTCACCTGTCATCTACGTTCATTTTGAGGACGCAGATCCTCTCAGGCTTTCTGTCTGCACACTGTATGAGTGTGCGGCAGAGGAAAAACACAAGGCCGAAACATCGCTTGCGGTACTTCTGCCGGAAAAAGTAAACTTGTCCATTCTCTGGGGAAATTTGCAGTGATGATAGAGAAGATTGGAGATGAAGCAGAGGAGCGGACTTGAAGAATATCTTTCTTTTGTTGTGGCTGGATATTCAATACAGTCTACACTGTGTTGATGATTTGATTCTTTCTGTTGCAGTTGGTTATCAAGTTCATTTATTCGTCTCATCTGCCTGAGGTGTAAATTATTAGCTATTGTTAATTCGCTAATATCTCGATATCTTACCACAGACTGTACAAAAAGATCCAGTCCAGTAACGATCAGGGGAAGGAGCCGTAGTAGTGAGGTCCCCCCTGATACACGGATTTGACTTTTACTTTGACTTTTTAGTTCGATCCATGTCCCATCCACTAACATAGAGAAAACAGAGTTTATGGCCTATACTGCAGTCAGCCACCTGGTGGTGCACAAGACGCCTTGGCTGTCGCCCAGCCGTCCATCTTTAGTACAGCACTTGAGTGTCAACTTCTCGCTGCTGCATCATCTTGCTGTGACTTTTTAATGCACTTGAATAATAAGAGAAAGTGAGGATGTGTAGAGCGGTGGGAGGCGACTGATCCTACCTGTTGTCCACGGTCGTTTTCAGGATGTTGATGAACTCCTGGTAGCCGGGGAACTTTGACGTGACGATGGAGAAGATGTGCCAATCGTACTCCTCCATTATGTTCAGCATCAGCAGAGCCTCCTGCTGGATGGAGGCACCGAACTGGAAGAACGTCGACTTCACATCCTGAGAAAAGAGAACAGGAGAGAGGCGGAAAAGAAGAAAGAGGAGAAAACAAAGATAATTAGTTACAGTTTCTTTCAGGTTTTTTTGTGTATTTCAAACAGCATCTGAGAAATATCAATCTACAACAGAGCACTTCACATTTGGCACATCGTGAGTATGCAGACTGTCTCTCTACCTCTGTCACACACACAGATCCAGAGTAATAAGCATCTCGAGGAAGAAATATATGGAAGAGGGGCTCAGAACAATTCAATTAAGCCCAAATTGGATTGGTGCAGTACAGGCCGTGCTGCAGAACTCTGTGGGCCTGGTTCTGGGGTTTCATTCACTCCGAGTTACTCATATCCGCTCCATTAAACCTGACTCTGAATCATTTGCCTCTTAATTCAGCCACACGGAGACATCGGCTTGGACAGAGCAGACAAGTTCTATTACAGGTGGACAAATTAACTCCATTCATTTATGTTGGATGATTTGTTTTAAATGAGTCATTATGGTGCAGGCTATTGGATGAGGTGAGATGAGATAAAAAATAGTGAGGGCACAAAAAGCATTAAGCATCACTACACGTGCAGAGTCTGAGAGCTTTGCCTCTTCTTCGCTTGTTTTATGTGTGTGTGTGTGTGTGTGTGTGTGTGTGTGTGTTACCTTGAAATGTCAAAGAGTTCACGCGTTGCTTATCTTGACACCACTTGACTTTGGCACTCTAATTATGATAGACCTGCAGACGTGCCTGTGTGTGTGTGTGTGTGTGTGAGATGTTGCAACCTGACAGCTAAAATAAGGGCGATGACACACAGAGCAAAAGGTCGGAACATGAGATAAAAGACAAACGAAGATTCTGCCCCGGTGTCACTTTGTCAGATGACACCTGCTCTCGAAATCAGCAGAAGCGCTGACATACACCAACCCTCATAAGTGCTCACACACCGCAGAAGCAAATATTTCACATGTATCTTGATGTTTCAGTTTAGTCCATGTCCTATCCAGTAACATGGATTTTATTGCAGCCAGCCACAATTTGGTGAAGTCGTCCATTTTATTTGCCGTCGATGGTCTGTGAAGATGAAGAAATGCACAAGGCTGTGAATGACTGATTGAGCTGACACAAGTTTATGAAACTTTCCAATCAAATAATTTCACTTCGATTTTGTTTGGTTGCATAACAGGTCGTCTACTGCTTCGTTATTTCACTGCCATTTTACTGAAGACAAATTTCCACTTCTGAGACACAGAGTAGGTCTAACAACTGAGTGGAGGGGGCATCGGGGGGGGGATGAGAATACATACAAGCAGAAAGCAGGGACTGAGTGTAGTGGTGGATGGTATTTGCTTCCATATCAGTGTGCTGTATGTAATTTCATCTCCACATGCGTGACCTGGCATTTCGTCCTCCACTGTGTTGATAGCCTCTGAATAATGTGGTTATTCACTGTTTGCATTATTCGTGTGTGTGTGTGTGTGTGTGTGTGTGTGTAAGTGAGCGAACGCACATCGTTTTTCCTCCTATATCAAGACTCTTGAGTGCTCTTTAATGGTATTGTATCTGTATGCGAGGTTGGCTGATTCGATACTCAGACTCAAGTGCTCTTCAGAGGCTCCCTCTGCAGCCGTGTTGTGTGTGTGTGTGTGTGTGTTCTAATGGGGAACAAACTGCAGCAATGCTAGAGCACGGTGGGGCAGGAGGGAGGCCATGCTATAAGACATGTCACTTCCTGTCTTCATCACAGCAGCGGCCGATAATCCCACACTTTGCTCCAATATACAGAGCACTGTGACCAGCACAGGGCCAAACAGAGCACTGGGCAACCAGGGAATGCATCAAATACACTGTCAGGAATGTAACTATGCACTGAAAGGTTTTTATTTCCTTATGAATATTTACTGACGTCTACACCTGCCAACTGTTGAGAAACCAGTTTGCTTACATGTGCTTTAATGTTCTCTTGGAATTAATTTATCATTTGTGGTCTGTTTAGCCTCCACATGCTTAATATGTGTATCTCCCCATCGCCAGAAGCAAAGCAACAGGTTTATGATTGACTGCAGGTAAAGATGGTGGCTGGCTGTAGTGAAGGTCATATATCCTGCATGCTCCATGTTAGTAGATGGGACACGCATTATTTATTCTCAAAGATTTCTGTTATCTTATGTAGTCTGTTCATTTGTTGACTTTTCCAGTATGATTGTGAAAATTATTTTAAAGAGGATTTAATTATTCTGTTTATTTGAAAGATCACAACATTTCTCAGTTTTATACTGTGATTAATTAATTAATTACATTCATGCACGATTAATATAGCACACGCTACTACTGGTTCTGAATGATCTAGAGTACTTTGCCAGTATTTGTGTGTGTGTGTGTGTGTTTCGTCTGAAGGGACTCAAGCTCCGGGCACTGCAGGGCAGGAAGCCAAAATTTATCTTCCTTTCACCAAAATATTCCCTCTTTTCTGGTCTCCAGTGATTCTGGGCGCGTGTCGGTGCTCATTTGTAGCGGCCAAACCACGTCTCTTTATTTTCACTGCAGCTCAGCATATCAAACAACAACAGAGCCCAGCTGGACTGAAGAGATTTGGTTGAGACCGGACTCAATATCCTCATTTAAGCGTTAAGTGATCGCCAACGCTACTTAGAATGAGAACATGGTGAGTTAGGCTTCAGTGTATTCTCTCAAAGCTCGGCTCTTTGGTTTGACCTAACCTATAACTGTCAGACCAGAGTCGCCTCGAGGACGGGACTCTGACGACAAGCACTGATTAAAAGGTCCTGCTCTCCTGCTGAAGAACGACAACTCAAATCTTTCCAAGGAAACACACACACACACACACAGGGATGTAGACGAGCATCTGATGTTATATGTACACTTTACGTGGAAATGATTTATATTTGGTATGTGTCAATCACAGCCCATTATATTTTGACCATTTTGGGAAAAAATGAGGAAGGGAAGGACACTAAGGAAGAATGGATATAGTAAATACATTTGAAGATAGCAGATGGGTGTGTGTGTGTGTGTGTCTGTGTGTTAGTGTGTGTTTAACAAGTGAAACACTAAAAGGAAGCAAATTAGCCCGAGAGTGGCAGACAGGAAAAGTTCCGTAGAGACATGAAATTAGAGACAAAGAGGGAGGGAATTTGGATGCGGGGCAGAGAGGGAGAGAAGAAGAGAAGCGATGGGTAGAGCAGTGAAGAGGAGACTGATGGTGACTAAGCAGCGTGTGATTGTTTCTAATTGGGACGGCTCACAATCCGTGACATCAGAAAACAGCCAATCATATCCTCTCATTTCACCCTTGTCAAGTGTGACATGTCTCTGCTTTCCACTCACACCTCAAGCTCGCGGCAGCCACACATACAAACAAAGACACACACACACACACACACTTACATGGGCACACAGTCTGTCGTCACATCTCTTCTGCTCCTCGCTCTGTCTGTCATGTTCACAGTCTCCCAACTCTCAAATTTGCCACTCTGTTGCAGTACACGCACACACATGCATACAAACACACAAATGCACACACACACACACACACACACGTACACAGCACCAATGATGCAAATAAACAAACAGGGGCAGGACAGTGTGGCTAAGTTGAGATTGAGGGGAGTTATAAATAGTAGTCCTCATATCCTCTGCTGCTGATCATACACTGTCTGGTCTGACGACACAAACACATACAGAACATAAAATTCTCTCTCTCACACTCACACACACACACACTTGGTAAATTGTTGGTTTAGTCTGTGAGGTACATGCTCACCAAGATTAAGGCCGGAACGTCCGAACCTGCATATATTTGACATATGTCATATTCGTTCACACATCACTATCTGCTGAATCTGATAGCTCCGCCATGTCCACTGGAGGAGAAACACAGATACAAAAAATTCAAAATAAAAATCCTCAGGGGCCGGTTACTAAATATAAACAGACAGGCCTAAAAATAGATGCAGCAAAACAAAAGAGGGAGAAATGTCTGTTGTGGAAACAAACTGAAAATGCCAAGCGTGCAGCAGTCGCCTTGTAAACCACACTGAAACAGTGTCTGAAGCCAAAAACATTTAAAAAATTCAAGTAGGTGATTACTGTGTGAAAGCTGCAACCTGACAGAGAATGGTTGTGTGCCAAATATTATGTCGTGACAAGAAATCATGAAAACAACAGGAGCAGAACTCACCAGGGATAGAATCTGGTATCACATTGACTATACATACACATTTCAAAAATGTATTTTCTGTCGTTTGGAAAGTCGAAAGTTTCCTCATATTTCTGAGTCCTTGGTGCCGAATTATGATTTTGTCTGAGACACAAGATGATGGTCGGAGTCATTTCTTTGAGATGATGGTGAAGGTTATTTTGTTTTTAACAGCAGAAGTTGAAAGCTGAAATACAGAGCTGGGTCAATGTTTGTTCTCTGCTTTCAGGAAGACATCGACACAGACAAAGAAATGCACAAAGAGTTTGTGGAAACACAAACAACACTCATGAGGCATCAGCTTGTTTCTTTCCTCACTTGTGCATATAGAATCTCCCGTAGCTTAACACCCTGCTAGAGTTTTTTATCCTTTTCAAAATACATAGTGGAGGCTTTATGTTTTGCAGCTTGGCCAGAAAAACAGCTCTATAGTATCTCTGTGTCTGCAGGGTTGGATTGGCACAGATACATCATCAAATAAACAGGTGCCAAACAGGTCTAGTGAGTGTAGAAGATACATACACCACTTCCAAATGTAAAAAAAGTATGTCAGCTTATATGCTGGCACCACTTCTCCATCCCCCTGTGTATTTTGTTAAAGAAATAAAGAATACCAGCCAATTAGGGAAGTTGAAACTTTGCTGAAGTAAGTGCAGCTTCGAGAAATGAGCCGCATTTCGGGTTCGTTCTTTATATTTGCCAAACAAGCAAGACATCATTAAACGGAAGATTTCAGAGGGAGTGATATGAACATCTATTTAAGAAACGTGCCTCAATTAGACCTTGTGTTATTTAC